TTTCGGGTTTAGGGTTTAGAGTTTAGGGTTTAGAGTTTAGGGTTTAGGGTTTAGGGTTTAGGGTTTAGGGTTTAGGGTTTAGGGTTTAGGGTTTAGGGTTTCGGGTGTGGGTGTAGGGTTTAGGGTTTAGGTCCGGTTGACCGAAACCATGGCTCCTTTTGTTTTCGGGTTCTTAAGGAAGGGATATGTAACCCAAAGTTGCCCAATGCTCCCCACGACTCCCTACGGATCCCTATGGCTCCCTAAGTACCTAACGCCCCATGAACCCCTCCCTTAAGAACCCTAAACCCTCAACCCTAAACCCGAAACCCTAAACCCTAAACCCACCTCCCGTAAGGACCCTATAACTCTTGGAGGGCTTCGGAGGGCACCAGTTGCAGAATTCGGGGCTTGACTGCAACATTGGATGGGGCAGAGGTGCTTTTGCCCTAAACCCGAAATATTCTAACACCCTAAACCCTAGACCCTAAACCCGAAGTATTCTAACACCCTAAACCCTAAACCCTAAACCCTAAACCCGAAATATTCTAAAACCCTAAAACCCTTAAACCCCGCAAACACTCAAACACCGCAAACCCTCTGAAAACCAGAAACACCGCCCAACAAAATTGCAAAACCAAACAGCCCTCCAAACCACCCGAAAAACCCTGAGAAACCTTCGTAGCCCTGAAAACCTGAAAGACCTAAACCCCCAAAACCTAAAACCTGAAAAGCTCAACCCCGAACCCTCACCTCTGAAAAAGAAAGACCCTAAAACCCTATACCCTTAACCCCCAACCCCAAACCCTAAACCCTAAAGCACTGAACCTGCAACCCCTCGCCCTGTCCCTAAACGCGAGAAGCCTAAAACCCCAAAAACCCTGAAACACCCAAGCCCCTAAAACCCCACAACCCCTAAAACCCTTAAGACCTCTAAAGCCCTAAAACACAACAAACCCGAAAGCCCCAAACCCCTAAGGCCCCTAAAGCCCCTAAAGCCCCAAACCCCTAAACCCCAAAAACCCCAAAGCCCCCAAAGCCCTAAAACCCCTCAAACCCAAAAACCCCTAAAACCCTAAACCCAAAACCCTCAATCCACCAAAAACCCTGAAGCCCCCAAAAACCCTAAACCCCTAAACAAAACAACCTAAAATCCTCCCTAAACCCTGAACCAAAAACCTGTAACCCTACCCAAAAACCCTAAAACCCTAAAACCCGTGAAACCCCTGAACCCTAAAACCCAAACTCTGCCCAAAAACCCTTACCCCTAAACCCAAAACCGAACCCCTAAACCCCTCCTGAAACCCTACCCAAAAAGCCTACACCCCTATACCCAAAACTAAACCCCTAAAAACCCTAAAACCCTGAACCCCTAAACCTTAAACCCTCAGCTCCGAAACACTGAACCCTAAAACCCTGCATCCCCCAAAAAACCCTAAAGCCCTAAACCCTAAACCCCTAACCCTAAACCCATCTAAACCCCTAGACACTAAACCCTAAACCTACATCCCCAAAAAAACCTACACCCCTAAACCCTAAACCCTAAGCCCCCCCCCCCCCCCCCAAAAAAAAAAAAAAAAAACATCATCATAATCATCATCAACATCATCATCATCATCATCATCACCATAATTACTAAACCCTAAACTCCTAAACCCTAAAACCAAAAAGCCCTAAACCCTAAGTCCTAAACCCTACACCCTACACCCCTAAACCCTTAATCCCAAAAACCCCTAAACCCCCCGCAAACCCACGCCCAAAAAAAAAAACAAAAAAACCGAGAGCCCCCAAAAGATCTTAAACCCTACATCCCCCAAAAAAAGCCTTCAGCCCCCCAAACCCTGAACCGCAAAGAGACCCCCAATTTAGATCAACACCCATTGGGCTGGGTCTAGCGCGCTTGGACTGCAAGTTTGTGATTTTCGGATTTAAGACTTAGGGCTCGTTCGGTGTTGCCAAACCATATAAGCCACGCCGGCCCCAATCCCTGAAAGAGCCTCCCGGGCACGGCGCACCAGCGGAAGGAGGAGCACAGCCTCCTGCGTTGTGCCCCAGCCCTGCGTGCTGAGCACGCTCAGCGCTTCGGCACGCAACGTCAGAGGCAACGTGCGAAGCACCTGCTCAAGGTCGCGGTCCAGGTCTACCAGTGCTGGCCTCCACCATCCTCATGGCAAGGTGCGGTGAGGTTTGTGGAAAGGCCTCTTGCCACAAGGCGAGAAGGAGAACTCGTCCGTGCATCACCGTGGCCGATGAGGCCTTAAAAACCCTAAACCCCTAAACTCCTAAACCCCCAAAGCCCCTCAAAAGCCCTAAACCCTAAATCCTAAACCCTAAACCCTAAACCCCCCCAAAAACCCCTAAATTTCCCAGAAAAAACCTAAAGACCCCTAAAAAATCCTAAAGACCCCAAAAAAACCTAAGCTCCAAAACTCCTCCCAAAAAAAAGAACTCTGCCCGGGGCCTCCTGGAGTTGCGCCTGGAGTGCGCCGAGCTCCTGGGCTGCCTCGCGACTTGGCACGCGGAGGTTTAGGGTTTAGGGTTTAGGGTTTAGGGTTTTGGGTTTTGGGTTTAGGGTTTAGGGTTTGGGGTTTAGGGTTTGGGGTTTAGGGTTTAGGGTTTAGGGTTTGGGGTTTGGGGTTTGGGTTTTGGGGTTTAGGGTTTGGGGTTTGGGGTTTAGGGCTTGGGGTTTGGGGTTTGGGGTTTAGGGTTTGGGGTTTAGGGTTAGGGTTTGGGGTTTAGGGTCTAGGGTCCAGGGTTTGGGGTTTGGGGTTTGGGGTTTGGGGGTTAGGGGTTAGGATTTGGGGTTTAAGGCTTAGGGTTTGGGGTTTGGGGTTTAGGGTTTAGGGTTTGGGGGTGAGGGTTTGGGGTTTAGGGTTTAGGGTTTGGGGTTGGGGGTTAGGGTTTGGGCTTAGGGTTTGGGCTTTGGGGTTTAGGGTTTGGGGTTTAGGGCTTAGGTTTCAGGGTTTGGAGTGTAGGGTATCCTTTTGGGGGGGGGGGGGGGGGGCATTGGCTACGTTGATAAGGGAACCCAAAACCCAGCAATGGCAAAAGAGCACCACCCAGCTATTCTTTATGGTCAATGGCTAAGGGTTTTAAAAGCTTATGATTGAAAGCTCTGGGTGCTTTAGAGATCGAAGCTCGAGGGTTTTCGGGTTCATGGCTGGTTTAGAGTACTACAACGTCTAGGCTGAGAAAGGCTGTTCATGACATGGTAATGCCTCGTTTTCCGGTGCGACGGTTCAACCTTCATGCAACATTTGGTGCTGGAAGCCTTTCTTCCATATTACGGCGTTGTCTGATCGATTATTCTGCTGTTTGAGATCGTTTCTGTCTGATCCCATGCACTAGCATTGAAAACAGTCGAACCTCGCCTACCAACAAACACAATACCGAAGATCCTCCGGACACGCGCAGGTGCCGGCCAGTTGCCCCTGCTGCCTCCTGGCTTCCAAGCTGCGACGAGGACTCTGGAGCCTGCTCGCTTCATAACTCGTCTTGCCTGGCATGGCTCTTGGCCTGGGACTGGCGCGCCAAGAGCTGCATCAGGGCACCGCCTGCGGTCGCGGTGTTTCAGAAAGCCTTCGATGGAGCGGATCCGCCTCGGCGCGAGCATTACGCTGCCTCAGCTCGGCCGTGATGCGCAGGTGCGCAGCTTCGTCGGGCGCTCCGTCGGGCCCCAGTCCCAGGCCTCCCCGGGATTCGAGTTTAGGGACTAGGGATAAGGGTTTAGGGTTTAGGGTTCAAGGTTTAGAGTTGGCCTACCACATTCCTCTCCCCATGTACCTGGCTTGTCTTCGCAACAACTAAAACAACACCCTAAACCCTAAACCCTAAACCCTAAACCCTAAACCCTAAACCCTAAACCCTAAACCCTAAACCCTTAACAAACCGTTTAGGGGCCAGGGTGTAGAGCCCCGGGATCCCTCCCCCCGCGACCTTGAGCTTCACGGCGTCGCTTTCATAGCGCCTGGGCGTTCAAGTCTCGAACTTTGGCTTGAATGATGAGGGGATCACCCTAAACCCTAAACCCTAAACCCTTGGCATTTTCTAGGCTCCTGGATGACGAGCTCTGAGGGTTCGGAGTTTTGCCGGCTGCCGCGCGCTCGCCCCTAAGACCCCGAAAGCCCAAGGCGAAAAGAGCCACGAACGCGCTTGACCCTAGACCAATGGCAGTCTCGTTCTTGAACTTGGTCCTAGAGCCACGGTTTAGGGTTTAGGGTTTAGGGTTGAGGGTTGAGGGTTGAGGGTTAAGGGTTGAGGGTTGAGGGTTGAGGGTTGAGGGTTGAGGGTTTTGGGTTGAGGGTTGAGGGTTGAGGAGGGTTAAGGGTTGAGGGTTGAGGGTTGAGGGTCGAGGGTCGAGGGTCGAGGGTTGAGGGTTGAGGGTTGAGGGCTTTGCTGCTTGGGAGTCGATCTGCTCTTCCTCCGGCTCGCGCTCTCAACGATGAGGCAGATGCTGCAAAACGGGGACCCCAAAAAGAGCCATGGTTTCGGTTCAGGGTTCAGGGTTCAGGGTTTAGGGTTCAGGGTTTGGGGTTTGGTTTGGGGTTTGGGGTCTGGGGTTTGGGGTTTGGGGTTTGGTGTTTGGTGTTTGGGGTATGGGGTATCAACCGAACCCTACACCCTTAGGCTCCGAAACCCGCAGCTGCACCATTAAACCTGAAACCTTAAGCCCTTACACCCTCAATCCAAGAGAGACCCACAGAGTAGGGTTTAGGGTCCAGGGTTTAGGGTTTAGGGCTTAGGGTTTGGGGTTTAGGCTTAGGGTTTGGGGTATGGGGTTTGGGGTTTAGGGTTTAGGGTTTAGCGTTTAGGGTTTAGGGTTTAGGGTTTAGGGTCCGGCGCCCCACCTTTTTCTTGCCCCAAGTCCCTGGCTGTACACCCTGGCCTAGGCTTCAGCCCGGGCTTCTGTGGGTTTGGGTGTGGGGTTTAGGGTGTAGGGTTTAGGGGGTTAGGGATTAGGGTTTAGGGTTTAGGGTTGTCCTGTACAAGTCTGCACGGCAGACGCTCCAGCGCTCAAAAGGCTACGCCTCGGCAACCACACCCCAGTCCGCGATGCTCCGAAAGGTCCTTGGGTTTGGGGATCCTTGGCATTAGGGTCTTTTAGGGTTTCGGGTTTTTTGGGTTTTTTTTGGAGTTTTTGGGGTTGCTCAAGGTTTTCTAGGGTTTTCAGAATTTGTAAGGTTTTCAGGGTTTTTGAGGGTTTTCCGGAATCAGGGTTCAGGATTTAGGGCTTTGATTCTTTGAGGCTTTCCGGGATTTATTTGGGGCTCTAATCGGATCTAGAGTCCCGAGGCAGAGGGCAGAGGTTGCATACCAGAGTCAAAAGGCTGTAGCAAAAGCTTCTTTGACATTCCTTTCGGGGTTAAAGGCTTCGGATTTCGGACTTTGGGGTTTAAGGTTTCGGGTTAAGGGGGTTTTGGGGCTCTTCAGCAGCAACAATTGTGTCCAAGCAGACCTAGGATCAGAGAGGTTCGGTGTCCACGCGGCAAGGTGGAGCCACGCCACAGCAGCGTCGGGGCGGGTGTGATAGCGTGCTGCCAGGACCATCGCGCGTCCTTGCTTCTTGCCTTAAACCCTAAACCCTAAACCCTTTTGGGTATTGTATTATCCTCATTAGCAGAAGGACCCCAAAACAGACCCTAACTCAAGGATCTAAACATATCTAAACCATGTAGCCACACAGAGAACGATCCTCTAACTCCTAGAACTTAACCTTCAATCCTAAACTACACCTTGAGCCCTAAACTCCAACCTCCTGATCATTAAACCCCCCCCCCCCCCCCGCCCTCACCGACCTCACCCCCCACCGCCCCCATGGTTCTCACCGCCCGCAGCTCATGACCCTGCCTTGGGCCAGCCGGCGAGCATCAGCAACTGGTCTGAGGGTACGTCACAGCATCTAGCTATCCCCCCCGGAAGACCAAGAGCGGTGCAACTGGATGTTATGAGGGGAGACACGTGGGCGTTGTGAGGGGAATCAGCGTTCGCCAGCTTCAAGTCAACGTTTACAATTTATGAAGACATCGGCGTTCACAGTTGGCAGAAGAACCTAGGCTGACCAGCAGTTGGATTCCCAATGGTTGCCTCCAGTCGATTGACGTTCGGGACGGTTTCGGTTCTCCTCAACGGGGTGACGGCGAGCGCCCTTCGCCCGTCACCGCGTGCTGTGAAGAGCCGAAGGCTTTCGTTGCCGTGGCGATAGAGCTTGGGAATCCATCCGTTCAATCAGTATAGTAACATTCAGCTGCGTTCCATGGCAGAGTTAGGAAGCATCTCGAAATCTCCCGAGGCTACGTCGTCAAGCGCTTGAAGAGAGGCGTTTGTCCCGAGGCTCGTGGGCAAAATCTACCGGGGGAAACTTGCGCATCTCCGCTCTGAAAACTACCGTCTCAGACGACCTATGGGGACATGTGCGCGCTGGACGATCCGGATTTTAGTACATGATGCTCACGATTCTGGAGCAGTCGGTGCCATTTTGTGCTTAAGAGATTTGGCTTACAAGCGTCTGTTCTGAGATCAGTGTCGTCGTCCGTGTTCCAGGGCGTCGTCGCTGTCTAGTTGTTTCTTCGGTGCGAGATATTGTGACTCATTTTCTGAGATTGGCAGAAGAATGGGTCTGACGTCATAGCATCCTTCTGTCAGCGTTGTGTTTTTCTAGGGACCACATGTTGCGACACACCTTCAACGATTGGCAAGATTCGTCTCCCATCATGGTGTCCTGTCATTTTCCCTTTGTCTCGGGGGACCAAATGCTGCGATGCACTTTTGTGGACTCGCAGGATTGCCGTCAAACTGGCGACGCAAGTGAATGCAACACAGTACTGCCGTACTGCTGACGTTCAATCTGATCATGGCCTCCAAAACAGACCGTGGCGAAGTTAAACCCAAACACGCGCAACGCAATCGTCAACTCTGTTATGACAGATAAACTCTCAGTAACCAGGGATGACCCGGTCTATACCACTCATGTACTTCAGCGCATGCTTCCAAGTCTGATTGCACCATACTGGCACAGGCGTCGCTTTTTGGTGTCCTGGTTGTTGGTCTCTAGCAAACTCGACGTGAAAGACCACGTGTCAGACCACTCACTTGTCCAGCGGGTAGTGTCCAGGCCTTGGAAAGCACGACGGGTTGACGAGGCCACGCTGCAAGAGGAAGGGGAACTGTCATTGTCACGACTGCTATCATCTTGGCTATCATTCACATTGGCGCCACCGTCCTGCTGGACATTCTCCGCGCCGATGCCCCTGCACGGTGTCGTTCTCCACGGTGACGCTGTTGCCCGGATCGTCCGGCGCAGACAAAGTTGTCGCACAGAAGTCCTGACTTCTCGTGCATCAACGGGCCGCCATCTCTCAACCGGGCCCTCAACTCAGCATCTGCATCCCAGGCCCCGCGGATGCCCTCTATGCTGCACCCCGGATCCATGGATTCTCCCTTCCACTCAGCACTCTTGCTCTTACGGTTTGACTTCGGTGCCATGGCACCGAAAGACCCCTCAATCTACCAAACCCGATCAGCTTGAACTGAAACGCCGCCTGCAATTGCATAAGCACACATTTGCTTCCCCACACGCGTCCCTGCAAGGTTCTGCCGGTCGCTTGAATCTGAGTTCTTCGATGCCATCAGGGAATACGAAATTAGTTGGCAGTTGGCCATTTCGGCGGGTGCTACAGAATGCTAGAACATTGGGCGCACCTTATGTAGTGTTGCGCTGATGTCCCTCCATTCGACCATCGAGCCAGCCTGAGCGGCGAGATTACTGAGGTTGGGCCGGTAGGGCGGGGGTTGTATAGGGTCATATATATAGGGTTAGGACGGTTAGGGTGAGGCTTGTAAGGCATACAAAGATCGTCTTGTTTCCGGGGCTGTTCGAAGACTTGCCCTTTACTTCTATCTAAAACTGATCCTCATGCCCTTTGTAACCTAAACCCGGGGTTTGCTAACTGAACACGGGGTTTGCTTGACAATGGACCCAATCACGGGTTCCTGACTCCCTACATTTTTACAGGTTTTCGGTTCTCCAGGTAAACCCTAAACCCTAAACATTCTTATCCTCAATTGGAAGGGCTTTCGCTGCATTGGGGTCGTCCTGAAGACGTAGGTGACCACCGGCTGACTCGAATGACTTGTTGCTGGTTTTTTTTGGACGCAAGCATGCGAAAGAGAAGAACATCAGCGGCAAGAGACCAGTTCCAACCGTCAAATCGAGGCGCCTCTGCACATAGTTCATCATGAGGCGTACGTCATCTCTGGAGATGGGCACGCGGGAGGTGTGGATGTTGCACTTGTTCTCCTGAGATACTTGGATGATAGTTTTATCATCATCACACATCAGGCTAGCAACCCAAGGCGTGGATGTAGAAGAAGGCGCGGTAGAGGAAGGTGCAGCGGATGGTAGAGCCGTTGCTCTCGCATCCGTTGCTGTCGTATCTGTGTTGGGGGGTCAGCCGCAGGATCATGCTACCGTTGTCGAGTGAGGCGATGCCAGAGATTGACATGAGCGACATGACGGCGCGGAAACGTGCAGTTGAATCAGAATACTACCGAGGCCAATACTTGCAGCGAACAATCAGCAAGGACGAGGTGTGCATGATGTGACACAATCTTGGACCCTAGATCGCCGGAACATGGGCCGGCACAAACCGGAAAAGACCGGTACAAGTTGTACCGGCTCCATGTTTCCAAGATCCAAGATCCCAGATTGCAGTGAAGTCTTCTGAACCAATCTTGGAAACATGAGTCAAGCTCGTGCTTCCAAGATTTGCCTGCAAGACCTCGCTGCAATCTTGGATCTTGGATCTTGGAAACATGGAGCCGGTACAACTTACACCGATTGGTACCGGTTTGTAGCTGTGGAACGCGGTACCATCAGACAAGAAAAAAAAGGATAAACAAGCAGAGAAAGCGTGCGGGGGGGGGGGGCTACTGGGGCTACTATACATATATGTATATGGGTCACCGCCTATAGCGGTTCCCCTGTGTTTTTTGCACATTCCCTTAAACCATCTAACCAAGAATCCCTCAAACCATTGAACCATTAAACCATTAAACCAATGGTTTCCCCCATATGAGAATCCCCTAAACCATTAAACCATTAAACCATTAAACCATTAAACCATTAAACCATTAAACCATTAAACCATTAAACCATTAAACCATTAAACCATTAAACCATTAAACCATTAAACCATTAAACCATTAAACCATTAAACCAATGGTCTCCCCCCTAAACCATTAAACCATTAAACCATTAAACCATTAAACCATTAAACCATTAAACCATTAAACCATACCATTAAACCATTAAACCAATGGTTTCCCCCTTCTGAAAATCCCCTAAACCATTAAAACATTAAACCATTAAACCATTAAACCACTAAACCATTAAACCATTAAACCATTAAACCAATGGTTTCCCCCTTATGAGAATCCCCTAAACCATTGAACCATTGAACCATTAAACCAATGGTTTCCCCCCTATGAGCATCCCCCAAACCTTTAAACCATTTTCATGGCGGGCAACCATTGGTTCAATGGTTTAATGGTCTAATGGTTTGATGGTTTAATGGTTTAATGGTTTAATGGTTTAATGGTTTAATGGTTTAATGGTTTAATGGTTTAAGGGATTTTCATAAGGGGGAAACCATTGGTTTAATGGTTTAATGGTTTAAAAAAAGGGGATTCTCATAAGGGGGAAAAAACCATTGGTTCAATGGTTTAATGGTTTCATACAATAGGGGATTCTCATAAGGGGGAAACCATTGGTTTAATGGTTTAATGGTTTAATGGTTTAATGGTGCTCCTGCCGAGGTACCTCGACCGCATCTTTTCTGCTCCTCAACTTCTGATTCGCAAGCAGTGTCCCCTGTATCCTTCTGCTCCGAATATTCTGAATCGCAAGCAGTGTCTCCCGTATCTTTTCTGCTCATAAGTATACGTATACTATATGGGATTGCGCCTTAAACCCTAACTCTTAAACCCGGACTCTATAGGGTTTAAAGGTTAGGGTTTAGGTTGA